ATGTTGTTGCTGTTTTTGTTGTTTTTTAGTTTCTTTTGGACTCTTTAAATTCGAAAATAAATTTTTCAGCTTCATTTTACATTTCTTGATGGCGAAGCCACTAATGGTAAAGACGACGTTGATAGTGACGACGATGAAGATGAAAATGACGACGACGATGATGAAGATGACGACGTCATACAGCCTTCAATCAATTTCCTTCATTTAATTTTTTAAAATATAAAATAATAATAATATTGGAAAAAATTAAAAATTTATAAAATTAATCACATACATACATATTAGTGTTCATTGAAAATTTAGCAAATGATTGTAGACAACAAACGAACGTGTATATATATATATATATATATATATATATATGCATATATATATATGCATATATATATATCATACATTATATCATACATCATATACATCGTGTAATATATATGTTTATGCTAGTGTGTTTGTTTGTTTGTGTGTGTGGGTGTGTGTGGGTGTGTGTGGGTGTTTGCGTGAGTATGTGCGTGCCTGTGTGTATTTGTGTGTGTGTGTGTGTGTTGGTTTGCTTGTGTATTTTTGTGCCTGTGAATTCATAGCGTGTGTTGAATTTTAATACATATATGGAAAAATTTAATAATGATGTTGAAGGGGGTGTATTATTATTATTATTATTAATGTTGTTGTTGTTATTATTATTATTGTTGTTGTTGTTTTTGTTGTTATTGTTGTTAAAAATTTTACGACGTGACAAACAAACAATCACGTCAATAAATATCTGTTTGTTTCTACATGTATCTATGAATGTTTGTATGTGTTTGTTTGTTTGTATGTATGCATATGTTTGTTTGTTTGTATGTATGTATGTATGTTTGTACGTATATATATATATATATAATATATATATATGTATATATATATATATTAAAGTTTAGCTATATATATATATATACATATATATACATGCTTATACATCAAAGTTTTTTTAATTGTTTTCAAAAAAACAATACTCTTTGTTCTCGTAATTCAACAATAACGGTAATAATAATAATAAAATAATAATAATAATCAAAATAATAATAGTAATAATAATAATAATAATAATAATAATGTAATAGGAGTTGATTACGCGATTTTAGGTAACGAACGAATTACAAATTCAACGAACGCTTATGCTTATTGTTTCTGTTATTAATATGATTGTTGTTATTATTATTGTTGTTGTTTTTGTTGCTGTTGATGTTGATGTTGTTGTTGATGTTGTTGTTGTTGTTGCT